ATGGCTGTGATATGTAAATGTCACCTTCATACTCTGGCCACACCAAGAAGAGGTCCATATGAACTCAATATGATCATCGATACAGTACGCAATTTAGAGAGAAAACGACAACAAACTCTCATTCCTGGATTTAGTAATATCTCTAGCAGAGTATGGTTTAAAAGCATCCGTATACCACAAGGCAACATTCACCGGACAATACCTCAACTTCAACTCTCACAACCCATATAGTGAAAAGAAAGGGATCGTCCGCTGCCCATGGTAAAACCCATATGAACAAGGTATAAGCAACATTCACCATATCGACAATATCCGATTGCTCAAAACCCGACAGATTTGGCGTCAGTCAGAGATCCTACACAACAGCATATATATATATAAACCTGGTTGTCAAAATGAAATGAAATCACACCAAAAGATACTTAACGGTGTCCCGACTATGACTCTCTGTCTGTCTGTCTGTCTGTCTGTCTGTCTCTCTCTCTCTCTCTCTCTCTCTCTATATATATATATATATATATATATATATATATATATATTTAGGAATTGATTTTTCATTTATTAATCTTTAATATTCAGAAAATCTTGTTGGAAAAACACGCCCCACCACCACCATAGGATATGATTTTCGAATATTCAGGACGGTAGATTAAATTGAATAAATACATAAAAACAGAGCACCTACTCAAGTATGATCCCCATTAAAAATAAAAGCTCAAAACTTTCACTCCAATGAAATTGCTTCATAGTCTGATGAAAAGACGCCAAAATTGACGAAAAAAAAAATTTTATCGTCAGATGTTTTTTGAAGAGGATAGGCCAAATTTTTTTTTTTTTAACAAAATTTTCCATATTTTAGAATATTCTAAATTTTGATTTAAAAAACCTTGTTTATCTTTTTTAACAAAGGGAGGTAAATAATATAGATAAATTTTAAGCTTTTTTGGTATTATACCTATTAATTTGGAAAATTTTGTAAAAATAAAAATAATTGTCAGATGTTAATGAAACTTTCAGAAAATATTCAAAAGATCCTTATTATGAATATGTTTTTTTTTATTAAGTCATGGCAGAAATATTTTTTTATTTTTATTAACACCCCATATCTAATTTTATGAAAAACTCAAAAAATTCCATATCATCGTTTTTAATTACAATATTTAAAGCACAAAATTTAAGAATGTAAATCATATTTTTTTTTTTTTTAAAAACTCAGTACCTGAAAATCAGGTAACTAGAAACTCAATAAAAACAAATATACTATTTAATCTCAAACGCTTTTATTTGTTTTATTTGTTCGTATGAATATGGACAATATTTTTCTGAAAGCAAAAAAATCAATGAAAATTGAATTTTTAATACAATTATTTCTCATTTCTTTAATTTTAAATCGAAATTTTAACACTTTTTTCATTACACTTTTAAAAAATTATAAAATAAATAACAGCACCATCAACCTTTGTACTTCTCATTCTTAGCTCGTCATTGTCTTGAGGGATTTGAAAATTGTATAATTTGGACCCATCCGATGACACCACTAATGAAAAATGTAATTATGTTTTGATAAAAAAGCGCTGGCTACGGAAGGTCACGTCTTTCATTATTTATCTTTATTATCTGTGTTACGTGTTGATAATTGTAACAAAGGAAAAAAAAATGATTTACCACAACACAGAGCTAAATCACAAACAAATATTTAATTTACTAAAACAGAACAAAACATATACAGGATAAAAACAATTGTCAGCCTACAAAACAGAAAACACAGAGTTACTGGCGAAGTGTTACTAGGAGAAGGAAAGGGAGTCAAATCACTTTTTATGAAGTATCTATATATATTTGGGATAAAAGGTATATAATTTTTAGTTTGGTCAATGAAAATTAGTCAAAACATCTATTTACCAACTTTGTTCCATTTCTCTTTTTTGGGTTTTGGTTGGTCGGCATTTTATAGAGATTCTTTCGGCTGGATAATAGTCCTTGAATCAAAAGCCGGATTGATACTGACAGCATTGACAACCCTTTTCCAAAATGGGGCTAACACCTCATATTTCTAGATTTTTCTCGAATATACTAGAATGATCTAGAATCTGTTCTATTTCTAATTTCTCTATTTTACAACTCTTCATCTTTTTGTAATAACTAGAACTCAAAGAACTTCTTATTATAGAAAAATGCATCCTCGTAACAATAGATATATCATATATTCCAGTAATATAAAATATTATATAATTTTTTGTTTTTTTATTATCTACTAATTACGGGGTATTTTTCATTACGTCATTAATCTTTAAATGTCGATATGTGAAAGGTATCACTTGTTGAGAAAACAACACAGTTCAGATCGCCACTTTTATTTCGAACAATTTTTTTTTTCAAAAAAGTAAAAACCCTTTCAAAATATTTTAACTAATCTTTAAATTTGCTAATTTTAGGTATATTTTTGGTATAATTATACCAAAATAAACGATTTTTCGTTTAAAAATTATTCAATTTTGAT